GAGGAGGAGGAGGAGGAGGAGGGAAAAAAGGAGGAGGAGAAGGAGGAGGAGGAGAAGGAGGAGGAGGAGGAGCAGCAGGGGAGGGAGGGGGAGGGGAGGAGGGGGGAGGAGGAGGAGGAGGAGCCGCTGGAGAAGGCAGCCAAGGTCCGAAACCCTGGTCGAGCGCCGACTGAGGCCTGGTCATGGGTATCGCCGCTGCCCTCGTCGGATAAGAAATCCTCCGGGTTCCGAAGCCTCTTGGGCACATTGCTTAACGAACGCCCCAACCTTGCTACGAGCCACGCGCGCAATTCCAGCACGCTCGGGTTCTAGGTGCGCCCGAGGAACTTGCCTCGCGAGTGGCCAGTGAGGAATGCAAGGGCGGCTCTGGAGCTCCTTCGGGGGGGCAGATAAATTTGGGGATGCCAGAGACGTATAGGGGAGCCCTTGGAGCTTTTTCACACTTTTTTGCGCTTCTCTGGATCCGCCCGAGAACTGGAGGAGCTGAACACAGAAGAGGGGTGTCCGAGTCTGGCCGCGCAGCCCACGCCGCCAGAGCCAAACCACAGCGCATCGAAGAGGCCGGCCCTCCCCCGCTATCCTGGCCACGCATCCGGGGCCCCAAACCACGGTGCGATGAAAGCCAGAAAGCCCCTCCGGTCGCACTGGCAGGGCCTCAAGTACAATGACTTTGGCTTCTCGGGGGTCACTGCCGAAGAGCTGGGCCACCTCCAGCCATCTTTGGGCCGTCTTGGAGCCTCTTGGACGCATGCAAGAGATGCGGTCTTGTGGGTCTGTGGGGGCCGTTTTGGAGCCATCTTGGGGGCCTCCTGGGCCATCTTGCAAATCTCTTGGGACCGTTTTGCGACCAGTTCGGGATCTCGTGGGCTGTCTTGGGACCCTCCTGGGGCCTTTTGGGGCCGTACTGGGGCCGTACTGGGGCTCATCTTGGGCCGTCTTGAGGACCTCGGGCCTCTTCGATCTCTTGAGCCGGCTGCCGCCCTCCTGGGGGCCGCCCAGGGCCGAGCTCGGGGACCTCTTTGCCAGTCGTGGGCGCTCTGAGGAGCGGATGACAAATAGGCGACGATCGAACAAAAGCCAATGGATATCTACAAGTTGTGTCTGCTTGGGGCTCGGGGGCTCTTCGGACACCCTGGGCCCGCCAGGGGGTCTCTTTGGGCCGTCTTGAGCGGTCTTGGGACCGTTCGGGCTGCCCCTTGCCCTGGCCCTGCTGGCCCGCCCTGGTCGCTTCTGTTCGTGCCTCCCGGAGCTGCCTTGAGCGGCAAAGGGAGGGCTGGGAGGTTCTGGACTGAGTCCGGAGTTCTGGTGCTGAAAAAAACGGGGGGGAACCGGGAGGGTGTCCCCGCCCGTGGCCTGGGCCTCAGGTGCTCCGGCATGTGGTGTACCCCTCTCGCTGCGATCTGACCATTTCGGCCGCGGCGACGGGAACTCCACCAGGGGGGCCACAGAAGGCCGAACCAAAGGAAAAACCCTGCTTTCTTCCCCGACTGGCTTCCGGAGGACATGGGGGGGAGGAGAGGGAGAAGGATTAGGTGGAGGGGACGGAAGGGAAGGATAGGGAGGAAAAGGAGGAGGAGGAGGAGAAGGAGGAGGAGAAGAAGATGAGAAGGAGAAGGAGAAGAAAAAGGAGAAGTAGAGAAGGAGAAGGAGAAGGAGAAGGAGAAGGAGAAGGAGAAGGAGAAGGAGAAGGAGAAGGGGAAGGAGAAGGAGAAGGAGAAGGAGAAGGAGAAGGAGAAGGAGAAGGAGAAGAAGGAGAAGGAAGGAGAAGGAGAGGAGAGAAGGAGAAGGAGAAGGAGAAGGAGAAGGAGAAGGAGAAGGAGAAGGAGAAGGAAGGAGAAGGAGAAGGAGAAGGAGAAGGAGAAGGAGAAGGGAAGAAGGAGAAGGAGAAGGAGAAGGAGAGAAGGAGAAGGAGAAGGAGAAGGAGAAGGAGAAGGAGAAGGAGGAAGGAGAAGGAGAAGGGAGAAGGAGAAGGAGAGAGGAGAAGGAGGAGAAGGAGAAGGGAGAAGGAGAAGGAGAAGGAGAAGGAGAAGAAGGAGAAGGAGAGAGGAGAAGGAGAAGGAGAAGGAGAAGGAGAAGGAGAAGGGAGGAGGAGGAGAAGGGAGAAGGAGAAGGAGGAAGAAGGAGAAGGAGGAGAAGGAGAAGGAGAAGGAGAAGGAGAGAGGAGAAGGAGAAGGAGAAGGAAGAAGGAAGAAGGAGAAGGAGAAGGAGAAGGAGAAGGAAGGAGAGGAGAAGGAGAAGGAGAAGGAGAAGGAGAAGGAGAAGGAGAAGGAGAAGGAGAAGGAGAAGGAGAAGGAGAAGGAGAAGGAGAAGGAGAAGGAGAAGGAGAAGGAGAAGGAGAAGGAGAAGGAGAAGGAGAAGGAGAAGGAGAAGGAGAAGGAGAAGGAGAAGGAGAAGGAGAAGGAGAAGGAGAAGGAGAAGGAGAAGGAGAAGGAGAAGGAGAAGGAGAAGGAGAAGGAGGAGAAGGAGGAGGAGGAGAAGGAGGAGAAGGAGAAGGAGCAGGAGAAGGAGAAGGAGAAGGAGAAGGAGAAGGAGAAGGAGGAGGAGGAGGAGGAGGAGGAGAGGGAGAAGGACAAGGAGAAGGAGAAGGAGAAGGAGAAGGAGAAGGAGGAGAAGGAGGAGGATAAATTGGAGGCAGGAATGGGGGGGAGGATAACAATGAGGAAGAGGAAGGACCAGTGTAAACTCAGGTTTCATCAACGATGTTGCACTAAAAACCCTCCCTCCAAGCTCTCTCTTCATACGCCCGTCAAATTTTATTCTCACTGCGGGGAACTGGCCCATCAGAAGACAATCGCACGTGAATCCTCAGTCGTGCCAAAACACCGTGTATGCGACTTCAGCGCCGCGGAACAACTCGACTGTTGCGTCCTGACAATGTTAAGTCGTACCAAAACACAGCCCGTTGACCCCAACAACGCCAAGACTGCTGCGTCCTGGAAAAAGTTGCAATCGTTCGCGAGAAGTGCCGTCACCGCCAACCTACCCTTGTGACGTCACGTTTCGCGTTGGCGCCGTCTGGGAATGCTGAACAACGGTCAAAGGCAGATCGGATAGCAGATACCTGCAAAGGATCTGCCACGGCAGAGCGCGCATACCTATAGGGATCTGCTACGGTAGAGCGCTTCCGTTCTCCTTCTCCGATTCCTCCTCCCCCTCCCCCTCCTGTCGTCCTCGTCGTCGGCGTCGTCGTCGTAGCGTTCCTCTTCTCGTCGTCCTCGTCCTCATCATCCTATTGCAAGGTGCGTCACGCCAGAAGAGAAGAGGGGGGGGAGGGAGTTGCAGGAGGGAGGGGGGAAGGCAGGCCAGGCCAGGGCGAAACGACCCGTTGGATTACACTTCTGTCATCGATTCGTGCTCCTCCCCCCCTCCCTCCCTTCATATGCCCTTATGCGCAACACCTTACAATGTAATGAAGAAGACGGGGACGACGAGAGGAGGAACGCAACGACGACGGCGACGACATTGACGACGACGCCGACGACGACGGCGAGGAGGAATAGGAGGAGAAGAAGCAGAGCAGCGCCCTGCCGTAGCAGACCCCTATAGGTATGCGCGCTCTGTCGTAGCAGATCCTTGTAAGAATCTGCTATCCGAGCTGACTCTGGACATTTGCCAGCAATCCCAGACGGCGACGGTGCGAAACGTAACGGTACGGGCCCATCCCCCCACCCCGCCCCAGTAACGCCCGCCATCGCCCATTAATAAACAACGCTCTCTTGATAATCCTAAACCTTGCCAGAGCGCCACTCCTGGGAAATATCCTTGAAACTTCTGTAAGCTTTCAAAAAGACTGGGCGAAGCGCTGAAGCGAGAACCACCTTTTGAAGAAGAACCAGCCTCCATCCGCGAAACTGTCAACCGTTTGAAACGAATGTGCTCGGCGCGGCACCAAATTTGGAAAACCACCCGCCCTCCGTTCGTGAAACCAATGCAAGCTTCACAAACGAATAGGAGAGGCGCTGGAGCGAGAGCCACCTTCTGAAAAAGAGCCAGCCTCCATCCGCGAAGCTGCTGCAACCTTTTAAGACGGATGTGCGCGGCGCGGCGACAGCCACAGTTTGAAAACCACCCGCCATCCACCCGTGAAACTGCTGCAACCTTTAGGCCGAATATACGCGGCGTGCCGAGAACCACATTGGAAAAAAAACACCCTCCCTCCATCCGTGAAGTTGCTGCCACTGTTCAAGACGTACGTGCGCGGCGCTAAGGCGAGAGCTGCATTCCGATAACCACCAGCCCTCCATCAGAGAAAATGCTGCATGTTGTTTAATCAATTATGCGCGGCGCTAAAACGAGAACCACAGTTAGAAAACGGCCCGTCCTCCATGAGTGAAGCTGCTGCAAATTTCAAACTTCAGGAGCATGAATGGCGAAGAAGTCTCAGGCGAAACGCTCGGCCCGCCCTACCAATACGTCTGAGGGGGCGACAGGAAAGAATTAGTTGTAAGAAAAAGGATCGAGGAGGAGGAAAAGAAGGAGGAAGAGGATGAGGAGGAGAGGAGAAGGAGAACTGGAGGAGGGGAAGGCTGAGGAGGTGGAGGAGGAGAAGGAAGAGCAGGAGGAGGAGGAGGAGGAGAAGGAGGTGGACAAGGAGAAGGAGGAAGAGGAGGAAGAAGGAGGAGGACGAGGAGATTGGAGAATAGGCGTATCGGTACAGCCATCGTGCTGCCATGAACAAAGCGGAACAGGGAACGAAGGGGCTCCTCTGGCCGCGGCGAGCCCCGGCCTCGGGCAGGTTCCCCGACCCAGCTCCTGAGGAACAGCCCGAGCACTAGAGCCCCTCCCTGAGCCCGAGGCGGTCCTCTTCCTCCTCCTCCTCCTCCTCCTCCTCCTCTCCTCCTCCTCCTCTTCTTATCCTCCTCTCCTCCTCCTCCTCCTCCTCCTCCTCCTCCTCCTCCTCCTCCTCCTCCTCGTCCTCGTCCTCCTCCTCCTCCTCCTCGTCCTCCTCCTCCTCCTCCTCCTCCTCCCCCGTGTTGGCTGTATGGTTTTCTCCTCCGAGCGCCGCCGCACGGACCAGACGCCTACGCGCAGGAGCTCCTCGGCACGGTCGGCCGTGTCAAGCGCCATCGCGGAGCCGAGCTCCTGTGCGCTGGATGCCGAAGGAACCGCGCCCACGCTCGCCCGCCGGGGGATGGTTTCGGATGCGGGCGGAGAGCGGAGCGAGGCAGAGGAGAAAGAGGGAGCAGGGGGAGGGCTTTGGATTCGGGTGGAGGGAGGAGGGACAGAGCGATGAGGAGGAGGAGGAGGAGGGGGGACTGGCGCGAACCTAAGACACAGCAGCGGTGTTGCAATAAACCCTCCCTCCAAGTTTCCTCTTCATGATTTCCTGTAAGGAATTATTTTCATTGCGGCAAGTGCCCAACCTGAAAACTGCCATATAAGAACCCTCAATCTTGCCAAAACACCGTTCCTGGGACTTCAACGCAAAGAATCAGCGTGACTGCTGCACCCAGACAAGCCTAAACCAGGCCAGAACACCAATCGTGGAACTTCGACACCGCGAGTCAGCATAACTGTTGCGCTCAGACAACCCTAAATCGTGCCAGAACACCAATCCTGGAATCAACCCTACGATATTTTGAAACTGTTGTAATTTGTTGACGAAGAATGCGCGCGGCGCTTGGGCGAGAACTACATTTGAAAAGGAACCGGCCTCCATCTTTCAAGTAGCTGCAATCGTTTACTAGGTGCGCGCGGCGCTGAAGCGAAGGCCCCCGTTTGAAAGCGACACGTGCTCCACCCTTGAAACTGATGCAAAGTCCAGCTTCAGGCGAAACGCCCAGCCCGACCTACCGCCACGTCTGGAGGTGCGACAGGGAGACACGCATTTTGAGGAACAGGGATGTGGGAGGGGGCTTCAGGTTGCGGGATAGGAGGAGGACAGAGCGAGGACGATGAGGAGGAGGAGAAGGAGCATTCAGTGACAACTCACGGGAGCCTCCCATACCATCGTGTCGGCTCTTGCGAATCGACGCTAATCGACGCTAGTCGACGCTAATCGACGCTAAATCGACGCTAAATCGACGCTGATCGACGCTAACCGACGCTAAATCGGCACATCTCATCGACCACCAGACGCTAGTCGACGCTAATCGACGCTAAAGACGGAATTAAGAGGCTTCATCAGGCTCCCATGATTTGCAACCGAAGGAGAAAGAGGAGGGCTTCGGATCCGGGAAGAGGGACAGCAAGAAGGAAGGAGCAGGGGGAGCGGGACAGGGCAGGCGCCGGCACCGCGACACGCGCATGCGGGAGGCGCCTCATGCCGAGGACGGCGTCGGGCAATAGCCCCTCACATGTGCAACATTACCGTGGACCGTGGGGCCGTCGCTTTGCAGCTGTCTCATGCCTTTACGCGAGCTACCAATGCAGCCCTGTTTCGTCTATTCCATGGTTCTTTCGAATTGCGCCCAACTGACACAACCACAACCCGCAAATACCGTACCCGCTCGGATTTACGACATCTGTTTTACAACTGCTGCTTGGTCGCAACATTTACCCGAAATGAGATCGACGTAACTCATCGGAAAACCTTGCGACGTAATGGCCTTCCACACAGGTTGGGGTGACACAGCGTCAAACGTTCCTTGATCAAAGGTGGACAAGACATGGCCGTTAGAAAAAAAAGCTTGCACATCAGAGGAGTGATGGAAATGGGGTGGTAGTTCCGAAGCACCTCTTGCAACCTCCTCATCATTCCTCCGTCAGTCTCCTCTTCTCCTCATGCATATGACTCCTTGTCCTCCTCGAACATCTGCCAACTGCTCTCCCCTCCTCCTCCAGGCAAGCCGATTGGCGTAGTCCAAGGGTTCGGCAGTGGGGGAGTGCGCAGAGGCACCGTCATTAGGACTTGCCACTGCCAGTGCAACACGAAATGTCCCCACGGAGGCTGACCGACCCTGTCAAGAACGACGCATCCACCGAGGGTTGCCGTTGGCAACTGCTTATGCGCTGCCACGCGGGCGGAAGGACAACACGTCTCTTCCTGCCATTTCCTGGCCCTCCTCTCACGGGAAAGCCGCTCTCAGTATGTGGCGACGGGAAGAATTCCCGTCGAAAGCAACTACTTTCCCTCCTCTGCCCTCTCCACCCTTCTCATCATGCTCGTCATCCTCCTCCGCCGTCTACTCTGCATCACTCTGAATCGTCATGGTCATCATTGTCTTGCTCCTCTTCTGCCTCGTGCTTGTCCTAATCCGACCATCCTTCTACTACTCGTACTCAGAAGTATCCTCACCTCACTCGTCACCACCATCATCCTTATCATCGTCATCATTATCACCCCACTCATTATCATCTTCATCACCAGCTGCGTCGTCACCATCACCAGCATCGCGAATGTCATCACACTCACAATCACCACCACCACCATCCATCGTCAACGAACTCGGACTCGCCCCGCGTCTGTGCCTCGGGACCTCCCTCCTCGAAGCAGTTGCCTCTGCTCCTCCCGTGCCCCCTCCCCACTCTCGACCTCGGCGGCCGAGGAGGAGGAGGAGGAGGAGGAGGAGGAGGAGGAGGAGGAGGAGGGGGAGGAGGAGGCGGAGGAGGAGGAGGAGGAGGGGGAGGAGGAGGGGGAGGCCAGGGGGGGAATGGGGGAGGCCGCAGTCCTGGCCCAGCGCCCGCAGCCCCGCGGCCTCCAGGGGCTTCAGGCCGGCGCCCCTGACCGGGGCGGGCGGAAGCCCCGACGGGGCGGCGGAGAGCAGAGCTGGCCGTCCTGGCTGTCTTCTTCTTCTTCAACTACGGACAGTGCGTCGAACACACATCCTACCTGCCCACTACCCGCTGTGTCCTCAGTCCACCAAGATTGTCGTGAATAGTACATCGAGAGACCACTCTGTCTGGCCGTCCTGGCTGTCTGGATGCCCATCTGGACGCGCCGATCCCTGGGGAAGGCAGGCCTGTGCTGAGACTTCGAGGAGCGGGGGGGGGGCCCTTCCTCGTCAGCCTCCTCCCCTCTTCGCCTCCGGCCTCGGCGGAGGACGCGGACACCAAGGGCGGAGGAATGGTGAGGAGGCGGATAGGGAGGACAGCAGCAGGAGTGAGGCTGCAGAACAGAAAGGCAGACGACTGAAGACACTTCGGTATTGTGCACATCTGTGTTTGGTGACTTCCTCGCCTCCCTCCCATCGGAATCGAAATCAAAACCCTGCCAGGCAGTATTCAGAAGAGGTGGAAAAGTGCCGCAGTGCTGCGCACTGCCATAAGACATTCGGACTGACCGCACTGATACATCAAGCCGCACATGACATCACGATGTGATGCTACTCGCTGCAATGTGCTTGGTGAGATAAACCGTCCATGTGAATTACGAAAGGCCCAGACATTGTAACTTTACTGTTTACGCGGTCTAAGCGTCTCCAATGTACCGAGGGCGGCGGTAGGGTCGCCACTTCCTTGGGGGGAAACCCGTCCATTGAATCCTTGTTGCGTGTGGGCGTCGTGTTGCACCTAGGTAAGGCTGGGACCCAGACTGCTGCAAACCTACTTGCAACTCAACATGTCAGTATCGCGTCGTATACACTCCACCCGGCACTCCGGGCAGAAGCCATCGTCGTCCGTGACGCTGTCGCCACCGTGTGCGGTTCGCGTTTGTGGCGAGATTAGCATTATGCACAGCATCCAGCGTTGGGTGGACCGTTATTGCTGCTCTAACGAAGCAGCTTCCGTACATGAAGCACATACATGGAACAATTCAAGATTGAGCTCCGCATAACTTCTGCAGCCAGGATCTGCCATGTACTGGATACTAGCGAACAAGCAACTGTTGACGGAAATGCGTTAACAAAGGAACTTGGATGAGCACTTCCGATCCCACCTTCGCGAAGTGAGAGAAGAACCTGCTATATCAACTTCTTCCGAACACATCTGCATGCCAATAGACATTGTATATATACAGGGGTATGGCCCGGGGGGGTCCCCGTTCGAGCCGGCGCCGAAGACGCTATTTGAAGACGCTGTTCCCCCAAGGAGCTGCGGTGAAGCCTCTATTCCGCTGACGCCTGGTGAAGCTCGTGACGCCTCTGATCAGCCTGAAACCTCTATTCCGTTGACGCCCATTGAAGTTCGTGAAGCCTCTATTCGGCCTGAAGCCTCTAGTCGGCCTGAAGCTTGCATTCGGCTCGTGACGCCTTTATTCGGCCTACGAATTGCGACGCACTGGTGGGGTGGCGACCCTAGAAACGCCTATTCGGCCTGAAGCCTCTATTCCCCTGACGCCCATTGAGGCTCGTGAAAACTCTATTCGGCCTGAAACCTCTATTCCCCTGACGCCCACTGAGGCTCGTGAAGCCTCTATTCGGCCTGGAGCCTCTATTCCCCTGACGCCCATTGAAGCTCGTGAAGCCTCTATTCGGCCTGAAGCCTCTATTCCCCTGACACGCCCAGTGAAGCTCGTGAAGCCTATATTCGGCCTGAAGCTTTTATTCCCGACGCCCATTGAAGCTCGTGAAGCCTCTATTCGGCCTGAAGCATCTATTACCCTGACACGCCCAGTGAAGTTCGTGAAGCCTCTCTTCGGCCTGAAGCATCTATTCCTGACGCCCGGTGAAGCTCGTGAAACCTCTATTCGGCCTGAAGCCTCTATTCCCTTGACGCCCACTGAAAATCGTGAAGCCTCTACTCGGCCTGAAGCCTCTATTCCCCTGACGCCCATTGAAGCTCGTGAAGCCTCTATTCGGCCTGAAGCCTCTATTACCCTGACGCGCATTGAAGCTCGTGAAGCCTCTATTCGGCCTGAAGCCTCTATTCCCCTGACGCCCACTGAAGCTTGTGAAACCTCTCCTTGGGCCTGAAGATTATAATCCCCTGACGCCCATTGAAACTCGTGAAGACTCCATTCGGCCTGATGCCTCCATTCCCCTGGCGCCTGGTGAAGCTCGTGACGCCTCTATCCGGCCTGAAGCCTCTATTCCCTTGACGCCCGCTGAAGCTCGTGAAGCCTTTATTCGGCCTGAAGCCTCTATTCCCCTGGCGCCCGGTGAAGGTCGTGAAGCCTCTTTTCGGCCTGAAGCCTCTATTCCCCTGACGCCCAGTGAAGCTCGTGAAGCCTGTATTCAGCCTGAAGCCTCTATTCCCCTGACGCCCAATGAAGCTCGTGACGCCTCGCAAGGTTCGAGCCCCAGGGGAGAGCAAATCGATCAGCAAAGACGTAGAACGCGAAAGAATCGTGCCCCTGGAAAGGGATCGTGCCGAGGAGAAGGCCAATCACGCTAAGGATTCGTCTCCCATGATACGGCCACTCTATCAGCACGCACCTGAAGCACAAAAGATTCGCGCCCCAGGAGAGGGTCACAATCTATAGGCACATACGTAAAACACTAAGAGGATTCGTGCTCCAATAGAAGGCCGATCTATCGGCACATACGTTAAGCACAAAAGGATTCGTGCCCCAGGGGAAGGCCAATCTAGATGCACATACGTAAGACACGAAGGATTCGTGCTCCAGGGAAGGGCGACTCTATAGGCACATACGGAAAGCACGAAGGGTTCGTGCCCCAGGAGAGGACAAATCCACAGGCGCACTGTAAAACACGCATGGCTCGCGCCCCACGGGAGGGCAAACCTATAAGCAAATACGTAGAGCACGAAAGATTCGTGCCCCTGGAAAGGGCCAATATATAGGCATACGCGTGAAACACACAGGAATCGTGCCCCTGGAGAAGGCCAACCTATACGCACATGTGTAAAACACAAAGGATTCGCGCCCCAAAAAAAGGCAAATCTTCAGGCATCACGTAACACGCTAAGGATTCGCGCTCCATGGTACGGCCAATACATAAGCACGCACGTAAAACACGAAACATTCGTGCCCAAAGAGTACCAATATATAGGCACACACACGTGAAACACAATGGACTCGTGCCCCAAGAGAAGGCCAATATATTGGCACATACTTTTAACACAAAGGACTCGCGCCCCAGGGGAAGGCCAAGACAGCTCCAGGAGGCACCAGGAGGGGCCAAGACAGCCCCAGAAGGCACCAGGAGGCCCCAGGAAGCCCCAGGGAGCCCCGGGAGGCCCCAGGACGCTCCAGGAGACTCTAGGAGGGCCCCAGAAAGCCGCAGGAAGCGCCAAGTCTCTATTCGGCCTGAAGCCTCTATTCCCTTGACGCCCACTGAAGCTCGTGAAGCCTCTATTCGGCCTGAAAACATCGATCCCCCTGACGCCAGGTGAAGCTCGTGAAGCCTTTATTCGGCCTGAAGCCTCTATTCCCCTGACGCCCATTGAAGCTCGTGAAGCCTATATTCGGCCTGAAGCCTCTACCCCCTGACGCCAGGTGAAGCTCGTGAAGCCTCTATTCGGCCTGGAGCCTCTATTCCCCTGACGCCCACTGAAGCTCGTGAAGCCTGTATTCGGCCTGATGCCTCCATTCCCTTGGCGCCAGGTGAAGCTCGTGAAGCCTCTATTCGACCTGAAGCCTCTACTCCCCTGACGCCAAGTGAAGCTCGTGACGCCTCTATTCGCCCTGAAGATTTGATTCCCCTGACGCCTGGTAAAGCTCGGAAGCTGTTCTGAAGCCTCCTGAGGGGTCGCCGGGGGGCCTTTTAGAATTTTGTTTGAATCAACTTGGGGAAGGGTCTTGTCTAGCAGAAGGTGCCGCGCAGCAGGTGGGGTACGCCTAGCACCAATGATTCTTGGTTTAATCAACTTGGCGAGGGCTCTTGCCTATCAGAGGGTGCCGCACAGCAAAGGGGAATGTCTAGCACCAAGGCACCAAGGATTCTTTGTTAATCAACTTGGCGAGGGGTCTTGCCTAGCACAGGGTGCCGCACAGCAAAAGGGCATGTCTAGCACCAGGGAATCAATTTTAATTAACTTGGGGAGGGGTCTTGCCTAGCAGAAGGTGCCGCACAGCAGAGGGGCTCACCTTGGAGAGGGTGCCACACAGCAAAGGGGCACGTCTAGCACCAAGGATTCTTTTTGAATCAACTTGGGGAGGGGTCTGGCCTAGCAGAAAGTGCCGCACAACAGATGGGGCACGCCTAGCACGAATGATTCTGTTTAATCAACTTGGGGGGGGGCTCTTGCCTATCACAGGGTGCCGCACAGCAAAGGGGCATGTCCAGCACCAATGATTTTTGTTTAACAACTTGGGGAGGGGTCTTGCCTAGCAAAGATGCTGCAAAGCAAAAAGGCATGTCTAGCACCAAGGATTCTGTTTAAATTAACTTGGGGAGGGGTCTTGCCCAGCAGACGGCGGCGCACAGCAAAGGGGCTCACCTTGGAGCGCCGCACAGCACCGGGGCACATCTAGCACTAAGGATATGTTTAAGCAATTTTAGGAGTGGTCTTGCCTAGAAGAAGGCGCCGCACAGCAGATGGGGCACGTCTAACATCCAGGGTTTTGTTTAAATCATCTTGGGGAGGGCCATTGCCCAACAAAGGGTGTCACACAGCGTATGGGGCACGTCTAGCACCAAGGACTCTTTTTTAATCAACTTGGAGAGGGGTCTTGCCTAGCAGAGGGTGCCGCGCAGCAGATGGGGCACGTCTAGCACCAAGGATTCTCTTGAAAACGACTTGTGGAAGACCATTGCCTACCAGAAGGTGCCACACACCAAATGGGGCACGTCTAGCACCAAATACTCATGTTTAATCAATAATTTGGGGGTGGGTCTTGCCTAGCAGGGGGTGCCACCTAGCAAAGGGGCACATTTAGCCCCAAGGATTATTTGTTTCAAGGACCTTGGGGGGGAGTCTTGTCTAGCAGAGGGCGCCGCGCAGCACATGGGGCACGTCTAGCATCAAGGGCTTGTTTGATCAACTTGGGGATGGAGTCCTACATAGCAGAAGGTGCCGCACAGCAGATGGGGCACGTCGAGCACCAAGGAATATTATTTTAACCAACTTGGGGAGGGGCCCTCCGGTAGGGGTCTTGCCCAGAAGAGGGCGTTGCACAGCAGATAGGGCATGTCTAGCACCAAGGATTCTCTTTTCATCAACTTGGGGAGGGGTTTTGCCTAGCAGAAGGTGCCGCACAACAGATGGGGCACGCCGAGCACGAATGATTTGGTTTAAATCAACTTGGGGGGGGGCTCTTGCCTATCAGAGGGTGCCGCACGGCAAAGGGGCATGTCCACCACCAAGGGTTCCTTTTTAATCAACTTGGCGAAGGGTCTTGCCTAGCAAAGGTGCCGCACAGCAAACGGGCATGTCTACAATGTCGAACCTGTTTGGGTGTGTCCCAATCGTTCTGGCGGCAATTGCCCTATAGCGTCGCCAACCTTTTCAGTTCGGCCAAATGGAATGGGAAACGCGCGATCCCTGACAAATGCCATGGTGCCCGGACGGTTGCCGTGCTCTGTCGTGGCCCCTTTGGGAGAGTAAAGGGGGGGGAACGCGAAGGAAAAGAACATGAAGATGCGAAGGAGGAGGAAAACGAGGAGGGGGGAGGAGCAAGAGGATTAGAAGGAGGAGGCGAGTGAGGATGCTGATGATGTCTCGGCAGACGAGCGAAGGCTAAGCAGTAGCCAGCGATGTGGCAAAAAGCATGTCGTTTTCGTCGTGGTCGCCGTGGTCGCTGTGGCTCCCGTCGTTATCATAGTCGTAGTCGTAGTCGTCGTCGTCGTCGTCGTCGTCGTCGTCGTCGTCGTCGTCGTCGTCGTCGTCGTCGCTGTCGTCGTGGTCGCCATCGTCGTCGTCCTCGTCGACGTCGCCGCGGTCGTCGTCGTCGTCGTCGTCGTCGTCGTCCACCGTTCTTGGCAATAATGGCTGCGCCTGGGGCCCAGAAGCCACCCGTCTTTGTTGGACCTCCCAAACCTGCGCGACCTGTGGGGCCTGCGAAACCTGTGGGGCCTGCGAAACTTGTGCGACCTGTGAAACCTGGGGGACATGTGAGACTGACGAAACCAATGGGACCTGTGGGGCGTTGTCCAACAAACCGTGTTGACGATCCGGCGGGGGGCGGGCTGTATTATGCAAATTCACACACGGAATGCAGTTTAGGTTGCCCGGTAATCCCACTTAACGATCGGGCGGGTGCGGGTTTAGTGTGAAAATTCATACACAGAGCGCACTTCGCGTAAAATGGCGTGCCCCGGCGTGCCCACTTTGCGATTTGTAATTATTTCCGCGTTTCGTGTGTGAAAAAATGAAACGGGAAGCATCCATCGTAAATTGGAACTGGTTGAATTGCTTTTACAAGTAAAAATGTTTTTTTGTTTACAAGACAATTCCCACTTTACGATGGATGTTTCCCGTCCGTTTTTCTTCACACACGAAACACGGGGGGGGAACAAAAAAAGGGCACGCCGGGGCACGCCACTTTACACGAAGTGCGCTCTGTGTATGAATTTACACACTAAACCCGCATCCGCCAGATCGTTAAAAGGAATTGCCGGGCAGACTAAACTGCATCCCGTGTGTGAAACTACATAATGAAACCCGCCCCCCGCCGGATCGCCACCACCGTTTGCTGGAAAACGCCCCACAAGTCCCGCAACTCCCACAAGTCTCGCAGGTCCCACAAGCCCCGCAGGTCCCACAGGTCCCACAGGCCCCCACGGCTCCCACAAGCCCTACAGGCCTTGCAGGTCTCGCGGGTCCTAACGAGGCCGACGTTTCGCACAGGCCCCGCGCGTCCTGCAGGCCCCACATCTCCCACACGCACAAGTCACACAGGTCCTGCAAGACCCACCGATCCCGCAAGTCGAGCAGGCCCCACATGTCTCGCAGGTCCCACAAGTCCCACAGGGGCACAAGTCTCACACATCCCACAGGACCCACAGGGCGGCACGCTAATAAACGAAAAGGAGTCGCGCGGAAACCCAATAGTTCGGCAGATTTACCCATCCCCGTGAAAAATATAACAAAAGTGGCACAAGGATGGAAGCCAAAACGATGCTAAATCAGACCGGGCGGGGCCCGTCGCACGAAGCGACATCGGCCTGGCAATGTAAAGGAAGAACGTCTCGTCTGCATTGCGCGGTGCACGTTAGCCATCCGACTGTGAGAACGAAGTCGCACGGCAGGGACGTGGAAACGCCCACGCCACCGGCCCTGTGAAGGATCGGTTCGGAAGAGCACCCAGGCATAAAGTGGCGTCCGCCTCCAAATGTCGCCACTGGGCGCGCAAGCCAAAGCATGGCATATCAATGATCTGGCCCATGGTGCACACCCGCGCACGCTGCCAACATTGAAAGGCGAACGTCACTTAATGATCCTGTTCGGGCGTTGCCGTGTGCAAATCATTCATGACGATCGTCTTGTTGATTTTGTTATAACTTTCCCGGCTGTGTAGCACCAAGGCTTCTGCTTAAATTAACTTGGGGAGGGGTCTTGCCCAGCAAAAGGTGCGCACAACAAAGGGGCTCACCTTGTAGAGGGCGCCGGACAGCAAAGGGGCACATCTAGCACCAAGGATTTTTTTTTTAAGGACCTTGGGGAGGGGTCTTGCCTAGCAGAAGGTGCCGCACAACAGATGGGGCACGCGTAGCACCAAGGATTCTTTTTAAATCACCTTGGGGAGGACCATTGCCGAACAAAGGGTGCCACACAGCAGATGGGGCACGTCTAGCACAAAGGATCCCTTTTTAACAAATTGGGGGGGGGTCTTGCCTAGCACAGGGGGGCCACACAGCAGATGTGGCAAGTCTAGCAAAAAAAATCTTATCTAATCAACTTGGGGGGGGGCCTAGCTGAAGGTGCCGGACAGCAGGTGGGGCACGCCTAGCACCAAGGATTTTGTTTTAATCAACTTGGAGGGCCATTGCCCAACAAAGGGTGCCACGCAGCAGATGGGGCACGTCTAGCACCAAGGATTCTTTTTAAATCAAGTTGGGGGGGGTCTTGCCTAGCAGAGGGTGCCACACAGCAGATGGGGCACGTCTGGCACCAAGGATTCTTTTTAAAGCAACTCGTGGAAGGCCATTGCCTACCAGAAGGTGCCACACAGCAGATGGGGCACGTCTAGCACCAAGGATTCTTATTTTATCAACTTGGGGGGGGTTCTTGCCTACCACAGGGTGCAGCACAGCAAAGGGGCACATCTAGCACCAATGATTCATTTTTTAATCAACTTGGGGAGGGGTCTTGCCTAGCAGAGGGTGCCACACAGCAGATGTGTCACGTCTAACATCAAGGGATTGCTTTATCAACTTGGGGAAGGGGTCCTGCCTAGCAGAGGGTGTCGCACAGCAAACGGGGCACGCGTTGTATTAGGCACGGAAAGCGTACAATTGGGAGGGGAACACGTTGAGTACTGGGCTTGGCGAAGAGAATGAGCATCTGCACGGGGAATAGTGTTCACCCAGCGTAGCGTTTCCACCGGGGATACCGTCTTCACCCGGACTAGCGTCTTCACCGGGAATAGCGCGTTCACCCGGAATAGCGCACCGGGAATAGCGTCTTCACACAGAATAGAGCCTTCACCTGGAATAGCGTTTTCACCTGGAATACCGTTTTCACAAAGAATAGCGTCTTCACCCAGAATAGCGTTTTCACCGGAAATAGCGTCTTCACTGGGAATAGCGTCTTCACCGGGAATAGCGTCTTCACCCTGAATAGCGTCTTCACAGGCAATAGTGTCTTCACAGGGAATAGCGTCTTCACCAGGAAAAGCGTTTTCACCGGGAATAGCGTCTTCACAGGGAGTAGCGTCTTCACCGGGAATAGCGCCTTCACAGGGGATAGCATCTTCACAGGGAATAGCGTCTTCACATCGAATGGCGTCTTCACTGGGAATGGCGACTTCACGCGGAATAGCGTCTTCACCGGGAATAGCGTCTCCACCGGGAATAGCGTCTTCACAGGGAAAGGCGTCTTCACCGGGAATAGCGTCTTCACAGGGACCAGCGTCTTCACAAGGAACAGCGTCTTCACCGGGAACAGCGTCTTCACCGGGAATAGCGGCTTCACAGGGAAAGGCGTCTTCACCGGCAACCGGAATAGCGTCTTCACCGGGAATAGCGTCTTCACCAGGAGTAGCGTCTTCACCGGGAATAGCGCCTTCACAGGGGATAGCGTCTTCACAAGGAATAGCGTCTTCGCCGGGACTAGCGTCTTCACAGGGACAGGCGTCTTCATGGGGGAAGTGCTGTCTGTGTCCCCAGAACGCGTCTTCACGCGGAATAGCGTCGTCGCCGGGAATAGCGTCTTCACCGGGAATAGCGTCTTCATCCAGAATAGCGTTTTCACTGGGAATTGCGTCTTCACCGCCTTCACCGGGAATAGCGTCTTCACAAGAAATAGCGTCTTCACAAGGACGCGTCGTCACAGAGAATAGCGTCTACAAATATAGCGTCTTCGGCGCCTGCTCGAACCTGGAACCCCGGTTGCCGGGGCAATGTATGTATAGGTCGGTGCTCACAGCTCCTATGCCTGTACACACGGGTAACGCCTTGAGTTGATTATCCAGCGCCGGTTAGACCCTGCAAAGCGCCAAACAGGAGCGGCATGAGAAAAAGGATGCAACGGCGTATATAACATATAACGGAACCCAATCGCCCTTACGACTCCCTCGGGCCTTGGTAGCATACAGTTTTCCGTGTCACCCACCCAC